GTGCACTATCACATGCATGCCCACACATTATGAGAGAGAGTAAAATTGTGTATCCAAACAATGCCCTTCAGGATCACTGTGGGAGGGGGCAGTCAAACATTCAGTTCATTCTAGCAATGGAATTAGAACGTTCTGTTCAGTGACAGTAGGGCTATGGAAGATGATAATCAAGATCTATTGGAAGAACAGGCTGTTTTGAACTTGACTCTTTGCTTTCATAGAAAAAATAGTATCAACTAAAAGGCAAACCCTTCCCCCTTGAAAATGTATATGTATTAAGAAGAAAGCTCCAACATATTCCATGAAACCTATTCCAAGGTAACTTTGCATAGGAAAGCTATTTCACTGAAAAAGAAGTTCTGGTAGGAAACCAGAGTAGATTTTTGAATGCATAGACTCTAAGCTTAATTCTGGTACTTACTCCTAAATTCCTAGGCTGAAAATGTGCTCAGAGGCACCGTTGCTCCGTTATTCTCAGATTCGCTTCAGCCATTATTTTGCACTGAGTTTTGTTTCTTAAAATATGAGATTTTGATTGAAATCAAAACAAGCAGAACCCACAAACATGGAGCTAGGTGAACAAGAGATCTTGTGTATGTTATGTCATTGTGCAAATAAGATTGGTGTCCTTGGTGCAACCACATCAATAATGAACACATTATTCTGATGACATTGTGGCAGGGTGGTAGGCTAGTATGGGAAGTTAAAAAAATAATGGAAGAAACATGGTTTCAAAATCATGAGAGGTATCATTTATTGATTTATTTAGCTGAATAAATCAAAACATGCTGGACAGCCATGGAAGAAATTTAGCCAATACAACTGAATGGTCTTTATTAAAGGGGTGGGACATGGAGGTTGGTGAACCATACAAGTTATGAGTATATATAAAATATGCAACATGTATTTATTACGAATATATAAAATATGTAAAATATATGAGGCCTACACTGAACTTAGGAGAGACCTAAGTCCAACAAACAGCCCAATGACACCACAGGAGAGGAAGACCAGAAAACACAATAATTCTATTTATTTAAGCTATCTACATAGCACCCATCTCCCAGCAGTGACTCTAGGCAGTGAACACAGGGTTAAAGCCAAAACCAGCAAATATATATATAATCATCCAAAACTAAGTAATAGAACATATATGTAAGGTCTGAAAATCATAAACTTCTAATCCAAAGACCAGAATTAAGCAAATCTGCCAACAAGGTTAAATGAGCCCAAAAGTCTACGGAATAGCCTGGTCTTTAATGCCTTATGAAAGGCCAACAGGGTGGGGGGCAAGCCGTGTGTCTGTGGGGATGCTGTTCCATACAGCAGGTGCTGCAATTGAGAAGGTGTGACTCCTGGATTCCAAAGGTGACACTGCCTAATAGAAGGGACTTGGAGCATGCCAACCTGCTGGTTCTGGTAGGGTGAGCAGAAACAATCAGGGACAGGTGGCCCTGCAGATAACCCAGCCCTGTGCAACCAATGTAGGGCTTTATAGGTGATAACCAGCATCTTAGATTGCATCCAGAAGCCTCCTGGAAGCCAGTGCACTCAGAACAGAGGCTTTACATGAGGATATTGTGAAATGCCCCAAATTGCCTGCGTGGCTGCATTTTGGATGAGTTGCAGCTTTCGAATGTTCTTTAAGGGCAGCCCCATGTGCCAGAAATTAGAGTAATCCAGCTGGGAGATGACTAAAGCATGCGTTATCGTGAGAACAGCCTCTCGATCCAGACATGGGCCCAGTGGGTGCACAAGGCAAACTTGTGCCACTGCGGCCACCTGCTCTTTCAGCAGGAGCCGCGAGTCCAGGAGGACCCCCCCCCCCAATTGTGAGTCAGCTCTTTCTGGGGGAGTACAACTAGGTAATTTTATATAGAAAGGTAAATTGAACAAACAGAAATGGATCCAGAAACATTCCATTTCTTCATTTTTTCTCATAGAGGTGTACGTTCCATAGTTTTTGATTCATCACTTGTCTATGGGTGGGGCAGTGTCACTGTTTTAGGCTGTATCATGTGCTCCTAGGAGTTATATAGGGACTGAGAGATGTTCATTTCAATGCAACTCGCATAAGTACAATGAAGATGATATATATGATGAGGACGCCGATCCCCACCCCGAGCGCTGAATGGGCCAAAATCCGTGCCAGCCTGGAGTTGCGTTGTGCAGCGGTGCTGTTCCCTTCACGGTTGGCCTCTCGGGTCTGAAGAGGGAGAAAATGCGAGAGTTGCAATGCATGTAAAAACAACATTCTGGAGAATGTGCAAGACATGAAGGAGTAGGTGGTTCTACATCAATGTAAACTTGCTGCATATACTGTGTGCTGGTGGAGTCCCCCCATCTGTGGCTTTTGGTTGCAGTAACCACATAATTTGGAACAGGAATTTAGAGGAGTATAACGAATCTCAAATCCTGGCTAAAGCTCCAAGCTATCTGTGTGGACCATCTCTGGGGTTCCTATGGACAGAGATCTAGCAGCTCAGGAGATCTCATTAGCAGTGTTTAGGTTCTGTAATCCATGGATGTGGAATAGAGTACGCTCACAGATAAATAGGTGTTTGTTATTCCCTGCAGTGACAAAGAAATGGTTAAATGCAACGGAGGCGAATATGTGTAGCTCAGGGTTGAACTGTGGAGTCCTTGGGGTTCTCTGAGC